TTCGCGAATAATAAATATCAATAAGTAGTTTGTTGTATTTTAGTTCATTGTTGTTTTTTATTGTTTGCCATTAAATAGGTATTATAAAATTTGTCAAAAAATGTGTTATTTTTTTTAAATATAAAAAATATTCGTCTAGAATAGATGAAATGAGGGCGGGAAGTGAGGGCGGGAAGTGACGACCGGAAGTAGAGGTGTGTAATGTGACACTTTCCAACCTTCGTTAGTAATGACAACATTACATACATGGTTGTAAATAAAATGAATTGCGTACTTTCCTGGAAAACACAGCTTCAACTATGATAGGTGTAACGAGAAAAATACATTAAACTGATAATAACTGGCATTAAGAATAAAAATATACTTCCCTAATGTAATTTTAGGCTTTTGTTTTTCCCCCAAATTATTCTTTAACAGGGATCTGCAACACTTAAATTGTTAATTGTTGTTTGGGTGGTTATTCCGAAAATCGAAGTTCGGTTACAACGTCTCTAAAGTTCCAGGTGGTTCCGGTGTTACACTGGAATTTAGAGATGGATATTAGCAAATCTGTAACCGTTAAGTACATTTACGGATTTGTTACTACCCGCCTCTAAATTCACGCGATATAACCAAACTTCGATTTTAGTTCAAGGACGATTTACCCAAGTCCGACTCAGCTGAGTTTTGTTTGTAAATAAGGACTTGTGTGACTGAAGTGTTGTGGTGTCTTATATCGTTGAAGCCCACTAATTTTCAAATGAAATGTAACATTACAGACTGAGCAATAATTGATTGAGTAAACTTTTCCCTTTATCTATCTTTCTTTTATGCTTTGTTTAAAATTGTAGTTACCCAGCTGTAAACAAGTTATTTGCAGAACCCGATTAGAAATTAAAATCTATAATGTTTTCTTATGATCAAGATTTTTACAGATTTAAATGTACATTATATAAGTATAGTAAATAATATAACTTTTATTGTAGAAAGAATAAACTTTTTGAATAGATATGTATATAATATTTATTTTTGTTCTGTTAGTTTATTAAAAGAATAAGTTTAAATTTATGTAATATAAATAGGCATTGTTTAACTATATATTTACACAATGATAAAAAATTATTTTATTGCTTGGATTTATTTCGCTTTTTAAAAACAATTGTGTAAATACACGTGAATTGCAACAATTATTTATTGTTAAGAAATAGAAGATACCTACAAGAAGATAAATTATATATTAATATAAAACTGTTTTACTTTTTTACAACACGGGTATTAAATTAAAAAAAAAACCTTATATTATTTATTTTACAATAATAATGAATACTTAATTTAAACAAAGTGCACATTCTTGATAATTAAAGAAAGTTATATGTAAAAATTATTTATTAGAAACTATTAAACAAAAAATGTCAATTAATAATACATGAGATCATTTTTAAACAACTAAGTAAGTTTATTGTGGATAATTTCTTGTTTTAATTAATTTGGACAGTACCCTACTCATTTGAAGTCGTAAATGTTCATAAATTAAAAAAGAAAAAAACAAAATAATATTTTTGAGTACACTTTTTTTTTAAACACCTTGTATATCGCTTATAGAGTGAATATTTTAATAATAATATAATTTCATGCATTTCTGTAAACGTTTAAAAATGTTTCGGAGTTGCCCTGTATCAATTTTGTTCTAATTACAAACCAAATATTGTTCTTGAAATTTTTATCTTTTGTTTAATTGAATTAATTAACAATGAAGACGGATAAACGACAAAAAAATTAAACAATGGCGACACAGTTTTGATAGTTCTACCTATATTTTTTAAATATTACATAATTATAAAACCAATAAGTATTAATTCATCTAATACTAAAGCATCACAATATTAAAATTACAAAAAAAATATATGCAGTACTACAATATTATCGTTTGTTTAATAGTTACAATATTGCATAACATTTTATCATTTGGTGTTATTTTTATACGACCTTGAAAACAATTCATAATAAAAAAATTATTCTTCATACAAAAAAAGTTTATCACTATAATTTTCTCTATCAATAAAGAAGTTTATTAATTCAAGATGACTCCTCGTAGAAAAACAAATGAGTGCTTTGAATTCTAGACACTCGTAATACTTATTTAATATTTTTAATGGAAAAATGTAATTTTTATCGGGGTTTGTAACCATATGGTTACAAACGTTTTTAAAACCTTTATCAAGCAACATTTTTTACACGAACCTTTTGCTGTAAACTGATTCCATGAATTAAAAATAATCAAATAGCAATCACACACTACACTCTCTATAATCTTATCATACTCATCTAAATTGGGCGAAACCATATGGTAATAAAATCAATAAAAAATACAAAAGTGAACAATATTATTTATAGCAATTTATTTAATAAAACAAATAAAAAATCGTACTTGTCTATCGGTATAAATATCCGAATCTACATGACTTAGAAGCTGTAAGTCATTGTCGTTTTCGTGGCCCTTTGTCTGTTGACTAGTTTGGCCCGCCTATGTCAAACTATACATTTTTCAGTAACAAAATTACATTTAGGCATCAATTGCCTTTTTTATTTTAGGAGCTCGATACCTTTTTTAGGCTCTCGATAGAAGGACCTGGTTCATTATAAGCTGATGACTTTTTTTTTGAAGCTCGACATATAAGGATTCCGTTTATAAAATTATAAGGTGAGGACCTTTTTTTTAATAAAAAACCACCTCGACCACCTGCTTTATATAGTACATTATATACCTAGGGTAAATAATAGCTTTCTCAGCCCGGCGGGTCCTTTTTGCCCACAAATCTCTGTTTTCTACCTGTGTAAGTAAAGGGGTGCGTTAATCTTACTGGTATTTTGCCCACAGTAGCATTCAGGTACCTAAACACGCAAATTACATCCGCCCACAAATAGGTACCTACCTGATTATTAATAATTCTAATAGGTACTTACTTTGGGTGTTTACTGTTTATATTTCAGTCAGTTTTTATAC